TAAATATTATTATTATTTTTTAGCTAAATCGTTCCATATACATGTACATGTAATCGTCAAATAAAAAGAATTAAGGTGTCAAATTAATGTTGTCGTCGTTAAAATACATGAATAATACTGATACCTCTTATCTACCGGTTCGTTCTCTGTAAGAAAAGCAGGCGAGTCGTTTCCCCGATCTTCTATATTTAGAAAAAGAACGTCACTAATAAAAATGCGTTATAAATAGCTCTATGGAATTTGTTTAAAATAAGGCTTAATAGTGATATGATGTATTTTTTCAAGATAAAATTACTGAATTACTTAGTATGAAACAACACTGATCTTTTTTCGAAAAAAAAAAAAAAAAATGAAGGCCACTTCAATGAATGTGACAAAATAGACTGATTTCTTATTGCTTCATTCAACGATCGGAGATTTGATATCGCGAATTGCAAACAAAATTTTATATCGAAATTGAAAGGTCACTGTAAAACAATTTACATATGTCAAATGTTCAACTTATTACATGTACATGTAACTGGGTACCTCGTGCAATTTACTTGGGGAAAATCATCGGCCTTTCTATAATATTACATTTGTTTTTAAATATCAGAAGATAACTCAGTGGTAAAACAGCTTCTTAATATTGCCATTGAACAATATTTCTTTAATATTCTTTTTCTGGAAACGGGTTGATTATATATACTTGTTACAAATACCCGCTCTAACATCATAACAACATTATAAATGTATAAAAGTTTACATTGTGCACTGTAAAGACCGACTCGTCACAATATTTTATTTTCAACTTAAGATTTGTTCTAATTTCGATTTGCGCCCCTTGGTCGCAAAATAGTGTGTTTGAAAGAAAATTTTGCTTTACTCTATTCACTGATCAATTTTGTAAAAATGCAAACATTTTTGTCTGTGTTATGACTTTTTTTTATACAATTAATATGCTCACAGCAACCATGTAAAACATTCTTACAGGAATTGAGTAGAGAAAAACCAAGAGAATATGATAATGTTAATTGACGCAAGATGAAGTAACCATGTTATATTAAGATTTGTTCTAATTTTGATTTGCGCCCCTTGGTCGCGTTATTTTTCGATGCCCGTGAGGAACATTAGAATTACTATATGCGCCAATACTATATTACTTCAAGCACCAAGAAAGTTTTTTTTCAGACCTTGCATTATATAATAAGACAGTATGCTGGTTATGACCGTAAACTGTTTAATATATCATTTCAGATTACGGTATATATTTTGTACCAGACAGTGCCAATCATTTAGATTATGACGTCATACCTTCGTTTGCCATTTTTACAATTTGTAATGATGGGACTGCCGATTCTGATGAAAAACGGTTTCAAGTGGACATCGTGCCGAACCCCGCCCCAGTTCCTACTATACCATGTAAGAATTGAATTTTATAAATGGAATACACAGTGCAGAAAACTATATAATATGATAAACAAGATCAACAAGGGAAGGCGGCGTTCAATGAACGTAACCCCGCACAATCCAGTAACAAGAACCAGCGGCAAGGAGCCCAGGAAAACAGGACAGGGCACAAGGCAGAGCACGGACAGGATAATCTCTTAAATGATACTTAAAAAGAAATAATAGTAACTGTGAAGTCACACTCTCGAATCCATTCATGGAACCATCAAGTACTGAAAAATGTTGTATAAAGTTTCTTGCTGAAGGAAACAATGACAATCGAGTTAATTGTTCAATGAGTGCATTTTCAACCAATAACATAAACCCATTTTTCGTTTCCTGAAATCGAGAAAACCAAAATAATACTCAAAAGTTAGAACGTTTTAAATGTAGATTAAATGGTGTTAATTGTATGTTGTCCTAATTGATCAACCATTTGTACATAATTTCATTTATGATAAAACTAAGCTGTATAAATTATTATTAAGCATGTTTTGATCATTGCAATCAAACACACTGATATCATTTTTATTCTGTAACAGCGCGTTCAAATCGTGCTATTTTCATTTGTTTTCTATTTAAAGCTTCAGTTGACGTAGATGCCGAACTTACTAAAGCAGGTGTGGTTTTTCAAACAATAACAGCCACGGACGCTTCTACACATCCGGACGGAGCTACAGATACTCTGACGTTTTCAATGGATAACAATGGATGCCCCTTTGCTATGGATTCGAGTGAGCATGCATTTTATATTGATTTTAATCAATTATCATTTGAATAAATGAAGTCATATTTAGTTAGTTTACCCTATTTTGTTCAACAACATTGACAGCATCGAAAAAACAATTGCAATGATGCTGTACGGATTGACAAAAAAACACAAAAAAAGAAAAACTAGAACAACAAACAAACAAACAAACAAACAAACAAAAAAGAGCTTAGCAATAGGAACATCAACAATAGCAGCTATGACATCATAAACCGTTGATTTAATCTTAACAGGTAGTTGTAACTTTTACCAAAAATGTCACTTGTATCATTTTGTTCAGTTGGTCTTTAAGCTTTTCTATATTGTCATTGAAACAAAACATCTTTTTATCATTAAACCAGTGTACAAAATATAAGCTTCATGACCTTTTGTAAACAAACAAACAAACAAACAAACAAACATACAAACGAAAAACAAACAAACAAACAAACAAACAAGACAAGACCGAGAAACAATGGAGCAAAGACAAACAGAAATTGTAGAATACACTATTCATTGCATCTGTTTACATTCTCGGTGGCCCACGAACAACTACTTTAATTGTCGAAGTATGAAACATAATGAACGCCACGCAAATGTTGATTTTTGCTTCTTACTGTCATTGACATACATCTGAAGGAATCGGATTAGATCTAATATTTTGGTGTATGAATGATGTATTCGAAAATGAAAAACATATTTAAATGTGTACATATTTTCAGACGGAGAAATTTATGCTACTGAAGATTTAAACGCTTACAGAAACACCCCGTGCGTTGTCGATATAACTGTTACTGATTCTTGGGAAGGCGTGACGTATAATACTGTTGGCCCTACGCCAATGACAATTCACATAACAAGTAAGTAGATTGAAAGTGGCGACTATGACATTTGGGCAGTACATCTATGTACGTTTCTGCTATTAAAAAAACTTACTTCATGAATAAGCTCATGCCTTATCTTCAGCAAACTTGCATTTCAAATTCCAAACTTAATTGTGTCTAAAAGCATTGTAGGATGTTAAAATGATTATACATAAATTTACCGTACAAGGTATTATAGGGCTAATTTTTGGATTCAGTTTTTTTGTCAAAATGTTTCAAAATCCATTGTCTTCATACATACACACTATGCTCTTGGCACCTCGATACATGTACGTATATTTATCTTAAGCAAGAAGATATACTAGACTTTAACGAACATTTGATTATACCTTAAGACACTGTAGATGGCCATAAACCTTGATTTAAATAAAGAAACGTAGTTCACGTAAAGTGGTTTAGAGATGCAAGTCTACGTAAAATAGATTAAAGACTTACCTGGATGCTTTTATTATCCCATTTTTCTTCTATCTCTCACACTTATATGTCTTTTCAGATATAAACCACCCTCCAAATATTACAAACCCGTCAGCAGTGTTACCAGATATTGATACGGTACATGTGTTTGAAAATACGGATGAAGCTGATCCTTGGGCAATCGGTGAAACAATATCTGTGTTCACTCCTGCCGGATTTGATACCGACGCTGATACATTGACATGGGAAATGGAATTCGTGAATGGTATAGGGGAGGAGTATTTCACATATGATCCCGCAAGTAAATATAAAAGTTTCTGTATATATATATTTGATATGCCATTTGTAAAGTGTACACTCAAAGAGACAATAAATAAATAAATGGATAACAAATAGATAATTGTCAATAAATTAAGCATTTTTTGGTATCAATAGGGTAACGTTTGTTCTAGAACAGAATTTTGTGTTCAAAATCAATTTCTATTAATAATATCGTTATAGTACGATTATCGTTATCATATGAGAATATAAGATATGTGGAATTTTCAGCTGGCGAAATAACAACCACGCAAGATCTCGATTATGAAACATTGAGTAGAAATGGTTTATTGACAACACAAGTAGATATACGAGTGTATGACCAACGTGAATATTCCGAATGGAGACGGTTTAATATTATTGTAGACGACGTGAATGAAACACCTGAGTTTGATCAGACGGTTTACCATATAGAGACGCTGGAAGGAACGGTATGTTGCACTCACATAATTCATAAAGTAGGGTCATTATAGGAGTATTATTATCCGGAACTTGTATTTGATTCCAGTGGATATAACTATATTACTAACAAAAGATCTTCCCTAAGAATGCAACATAATTAGAACAAATCATTTAGCATTACTCTATTTACATATTACCCTTAGTGCATTTTTTCCTTTGTATATTCATATGCTTGGTGCATTATATATCATTGTCCCTTTGGCATCTACGTACATTTATTTTCGGACAAACTGTAAAGTTATCATTCATCAGAATAACCTCTGATTTACACAAAGCGACAATATTTCCACAACAATCATTGTGACAATATATGTTGAATTACAGAAAAAAGTGATTTTTAACAGCACAATCCATTAAAGAGATTTTTAAAATGCATCTAAATTATACAATGTGTCGGTAAATTTGTAGGATACAACGGTGACATTGGACTGTCCAAGTTTTTCAGTCACAGATGAAGATCTGTATGATACTCGTACCTATGACCTAGATTGTGGTGGTGTCGGCATATTTCAGTTACCAACAACACGTACACCTACTTGTGATGCTTTCATACAACAATTGGAGGAACGTGATCTAGATGCGCTAGGTGAGGCGGACTTTGAAATGAAATTTAATTTTGGTCCCTTTAAAACAAATACGCTCAGTGGATTGAGTAATGCTTACAACAACTTTTGATCAAAAGATTTATATCCCCCGTTACATTTACAATATTTCATGATCCATATAAGCAAGCATTTTTATAACCAATACAGTGTATATAGATGTGCTGCATACTACGTATGTACATAACTAGTGAAACCACAAAAAATCTATTTTATAACTTTGACAATAGGATTATCAACCTAATGTGCATTATGGTCTGTTCATTCGTCGATAAACTTTTTCAGAACATTAGCTACATACAGATAACCAAGTTGTTTTCAGATTCATTATATTATAAACTAATAATGGAGTCGTATAAAGGGGAATTTGATGTTACATGTAAACATTCTCATGCATAAATAATTATTTCATACATCAAACAAAGGCATTTATGTCGGGAAGTCATTTAAAGATAAAAGCATAATAATCTTATGGTAAAGATGGATGCTTCTTTTATGTTTTCTTGAAAAGGACAAGGAAGTTTTTTTTGTAATAGACATTTTAATCTTGAAATATATATTTTGATTACGTATGTTAGGCAACAATTTATACAAAATAAAATTGATAACGTAACGTGTTATGAACTGATAAGTTAGGCAACAATTTATACAAGAATATTTACTAAACACACTTGTCAAGCTTTAATTATCTTTTCCAGTTATAAACTTCATTTGTGTTGTTGTATTATTTCTTTTCTTACAAGGTCTGCAATTTTCATGTAATTATGCTGATTTTAATGCTTTTGGAGGATCACATTTTATGTCACATCAACAGGTGTAAAGTGTCGTGTGGCAGCCGAAAGAGTTTACCCCGTTATTTACTTCAGTGTTGTTATATTTCTCTGGTCCTTTGGGATCATTGATACCAATATATATTGCCAGTGCAATGTTTTGTGTAACATACCTAAATATGTAGGGTTATGTATCGTTGTTACTTGCCGTATAAAAAAGTTTTTTTTATGTATTTTAAAGTTTTGGCAATATTTTAAAAAGTACTTTTAAGTACATGTATTGGTATTATATCATACATATGTAGATATACAATTGAAATATTATTCTAAAAATATTAGTAATTGTGTAACATATGAAATGTTTTGTCTAATATATTTCAAGGTTTAGAGATTGAGGAAATATCATGCGAAGTAACTGTATATGATAAATTGGGTCTATTTGACACAACTGAGGTAAGATAAAGTAAAACATTTTATTGTATTATTATCGGATATTATTACTCTGATATGGTCCTGAAATTGCTATTTCTATCATACTGACAACAAGGCGTGTTTTTCAACATTTAGGTTTTTAAATCAAAATAACTGAATAAGCTTTTAATATACATGTAATTCAGTTTTGTATCTTCTAAAAATCGGACCCGATCCCACAAAAAAACCCACACAAGTCAATTTGAAAGAAAGGGATTACTACATGAATACCCATGTAGACATTGAACTGAATAACTACATGCGTTATCAAATTTTTAGCTTATTGTTTGGGACTTTTAAATGGATAAAAATTGATATTTAACAAGAAACTGATTATTAATATACAGTCTTATTTGAAATGTTGAACTGTCTATTTTGAAATGAAAAAAAATCTTTTGAATACACACAGAGAAAATATATTACGTTTTAAACAGTTAATCACAATATGATTACATAATGTCATTAAAAAGACTGACAGTTTGTATAAGAATAGACCAAATTAATTTGACAAGTAATAAGGAATGTAGCTTCCAAAAAATAGTTTATATATTCATTTATTCAAATTAGACATATTCAGGAAGTATTTACTAGATTTCAATGAATTATTCTGCAACTAAGTATTTTACCCACAAATGAGCATTGCATATCTTGAATTATTGTGTTACACAATATTTATCTTGTAGGTAAGGATAACAATACATGAAGACAATGATAATCCTCCAGTGCTGAGCCAATCATCATTTGTTTACACAATTACCAACGACTCATTGCCCGATTTAACATTTGGTTCGTTTTCCTCAACTGACATAGATATTAAAGAAGAACACCAAATAGTTACATACACAACAAGCTCCAGGTATTGTACTTGTTTACTTGAATATAGACTTCTTGCACATAGTGTTAGTTCTGAAAACAAAAACTTAAAAAAACAACAACAACAACAAAAGTCAATAAAAACAACAATAACAACCAAAACAATCAATAAAACAGCAATCAAACTAAGACAATCATGTAAAATGATTATAGTTAACGTACGATTGTCCAAGTGCAACAATCTACTTTATTTTAGTTCTTTGCTGTCCTTGTGGAAGCATTCTTATTTAATTTGTGCAATCGAGTGGGGGTGCTTTTCTCTGCATTTGCCTCTCGTAAAACAAATCTGCAATGTTCATGAATTTATTCTGTTTTTCAATATGTTTTGAAAAGTTGAATGCTCAAAAATATTTATGTAAGAAAAAGTTTCTTGTTGCCCTTGTTGTGCTGGGAGGAGAAACTATCATTTAGAAAAAAGATTAATCAATGTTTATAATTTAAATAACATTTAAAAAGTAACTCTATAAATAGTGCTCAGTAACTGCATTTCATGCACACATCTCTTAGGGTATACACTTGTTCCTTTAAATATTTAATCAGTTTATTAAATATCATTTAACAATCTTTTAAATTTCTAATATACTTAAAAAGGTGAAGTACTTTGATGTGCACATAAAAATGCATTTTAAGGAATATAATAAGTTTTTTAATGTTATGTAGAGTACGCGTAACTTATAAAACAATTTATTACAATTTTCTAATTGTACATTTTTACAATCATGTATCAAGTACATATTCATTAAAGATAAAGAAATATGCTACATTTAGGTATTGTCTGAAATAATACAGTAAATATATGTATTATTAAGCTGTGTCTTACTATTTAGGCTATTATTGTCTGATAAAGTCATATAAAGAGTATATTCCAACCCTGTATTAGAATAACAAATAGAATGATCTTACTGCCGCTGTTTCATTTAACCATAAGGCAATAGTCTTTATCGTCGTTTCTTCTTTTCTCCTTTAATCATATTCGTGCTTCATAAATCATAACTGTGCTTCTTTAATAATGTCCGTGCTTGTATAAGCTTTAATCAAATGGAATTTGTTTATTGCAGTGAATTTATCGCAGATGCAAATGGTGCTTTTGTAAATACAAGAGACTGGACTGGAGTGAACGCGAATCCCCAAATTACAAGACAATTCACCCTTACTGCTACAGACAAGGCTGGTAAATACTGATTATACCAAAAAATAATTTATCAATATTTTTGTGTATAGGGTGTAACATACTTATGTCCTTTATCCTTCATTTGCGTGTACAAAAAATCAATGATCATTTTATCTAAAACTCATACTATCAAATTATTGGCATAATTTCTTCGACATGCATGTTTAAGGCTAAGACTTATAGATATTATATATTATAAATAGCACATTTTTAAGAAGCAACACACCAAACAAGAGCAAACACAACAACAAGAAAACACACACTACAATACACAAAAAGGGAGAAAGCATTATGAAAATATAATATGATGTCCAAGTAATGCATTTGACACACCCAGCAAAATAAATAGTTCTTCAAACACCGGATTATTTATTTCTTTAGGTAATACAGACACGGCTGACGTCACAGTACATATCATAGATGTACCAGATCCTACAACAACGACCACACCTCCTACAACTATAGCGGCGACTTATGACGAGATAAGTAGTTTTCTGGACGACCCTGGGAACTTTGCATGGATGATAGCAGCCCTTCTCCTCGGCCTGGGGATGCTAGGCCTAATGGGGTACATGTGTTTCCGCTGCTTTAGTACTCCAGGAGCATGTCTAAACACGTAAGCTGCTGCGATAACTTTTAGTTATTTCATAGTTTAATTCTAAACAGATAAGTAGATAAAAGTGAAAATTCATTTTATTCAACCAACCAAAGACAATTTTCTGACAACTAGAAGTACTTTTCTATCAATTAATTCATAACTTTTAGTCTAGTCATTTGGGACTATTCATTCCAATTCTTCTAGCTTTTGAACTGGTGAGAGATATAAGTTCACTTCAGATGATGTTTCATATGTTTCTATGTGTCCTTTGGGATTATTGATTGCAGCACGTTAGTAGTGACTGAGGATTAAATACCACCTTGTATATCGCTAAAGCCAGAGGACATGGTAGTGATTGCATAATTACAATACCTCTTTTAAAGAGACTCAATCAAACCATTATACTCACATCATATCACTTATTGAATTGCTTCAGAGTAATTATCCGTTTTATGTTAATTTTTTCTCATGCATATACTGGAATCCCTAAGACTGGGACTTTTTACTAAATATTGTTTTCAATGCTCTTTGGATATCTTAAACACTATTTCAGTTTCATCACAAAATTATATCAAGAAAACTATACTACGTATGAGAACGGTATACTTCAATTGTTATAAAATTCTTACCTCCTTTGTGTTGTATGATGGATCGCTTTTTTAAATTTAAAGATGCAGAGGTGGTGGCGGTAGAAGCTGCTTTGGCAGAGGTGCTCGCGGTGGTCGCGGTAGTCGGTGGTTTGGTAGAAGAACAATGGTCAAGCGTGCTCCACAGCAAAAACGAGTAGTGAGTAAGCCTAGAAAAATCCGTGTTGTAGAGGAGCGAGAAAGGCCAGTGCGAGTAGTGGAGAAAAGAAAACCAGTTAAAATAATAGAGGAGGAAAGACCCGTTAAAGTCGTTGAGAAGCCGACACGAGTCATTGAAGAACCTGTAAAAGAACCAATTATAAATGAACCAGTGAAAGAAGCACCAGCTGAGAAAAAGAGCAGCTTTTTTGACAGATTTAAATCCAAACCTAAACCTCCTGAACGTATGTATTTGTATTATACATAAATAGATTTGAACTTAAAAATGCGAAAATAATAATGCAAGAAATAAATGCAGTGTATAGAGAATCAAAATGTAAAATAACAATCATAGCAATATGAATAATAGCCGGTTCTGGATAAATTTGAGATCATACAGAATGACGCTCTCTTTACCTCAATGTGTTTCATTCTTTATTAGATACTTACAAAATGTTATTATGATGAATTAATTCACGAATCTGCATATGGTTCAGGTATAGTTTATACCTGTCCACTTGTATCTTTTCAGCCAAAGCTGTGGATAAACCAAAGGAATGGCATCTATGGGGTGAAAAGGACTTTATGTCAAATGAGTAAGTATTAGGACTCGTATATGGAATATATATTAGTTCAACCAATATAATATAGTTTGACACATGTATTTAATTGCATGTAGCCAAAAGCTGTGCTAAAATGCTGTTAGCAAGACATTTTTGATCTCTTGGTTTTTTAGAAAAAGCAAACTGGGATACAGAGAAACATGTATCTAATTTATACCATGTATTATAAATTTTAGTCAGTCAATTTCTAAATGCAACGTTTGGGTAAATCTTTATACATACTTACGATTTTTGTATGTGTTAACATAGGCCTTTTAAAAATTATTATGACCAAACGAATGTAAAACAATTCTTTCTTAATAATGACATAGATTATGAACTATTATCCGATAATTCACCACTTTATCTAAACCTGTTCCATGAACAAAAATTATAAAAGCTAGGGCAGGTAATTTTGAACCACCATGCTCTAGTAGATAGAAATTATGCTTCTGTTTGACCTCTAATAACCACTTCGTTAATTAGAAAAAGTGTGTGTTACATATTTCTAGTAACAAACTATCAAAATCTAAAATGTATCTATCGACTCCTTACATTTTGTTTGGTCTTTACATAAGAGTATCTATCATGAGACAACTACTCGAGTTCATAATAAGATTTCCATTTGTTTTTATTCTTATTTTCAGTAAATGGGTTGGCTGAAACTCGTTTTAAATGGACTGGGTTGATATTACATTGTACGCGTTGTACACTACAGTATTTGTGATATTTATATTTATTTATATCGACTTCCTGAAAGAGATCATGATAATTTCTAGAATTCCTCATCGACATCTTGACCAACACATTGTATGTTATTCTAGAAAAAACCAACAACAATAGATTTTCATTTTGTGTCTGTACAAGCGAAAATGCTTTGCAGCCTAAGTGCTTAAAAACATTATAACATCATCTGTTTTGTCATGTTCATAATACTAAACACATTAAAATAAACCCATTATCTACATGTAATAACAAAGAAGGGCATTTGATATTGAATAGTATCTGAACATTTGTCGTTCTGACACGAAATGTCAATGTGATTGTCTAGCCTAAGGCATTATCTTTTATTTACAATCGAAACAAAACTACAAATTGAAGTTATTTACGTAAATACAGTTAAACCTATTAACAAATATCATGGCATTGTTTTTATTTACAATCGAAATTAAAACTACAAATTAAAGTAATGTTCATAAATACAGTCAAACGTGTTAACAAAGGTCATCCAGAAAAGAGGAACGCCTTCATAGACAATAGAGTTGCCTTTGTCTTTATTCGGACATTTTTTTAATATTTAACACAGGTTTGACTAAACATGTGTATGATGATAAGATGTCAATATAAAAAGTCAGCTATTGCATTACTGATAAATTCAATTAATTGAAACGTCTTTGCTCTGTTAATGTTGAAAGCTTTGGAATTATTTATATAAACAAATGGAAATCATGTTCGTGTCCTATATGGTATGTAATTACCTACCCTTTTCCATTTTGTCTCACAGCAAAGTGTACATTCAAATCTCTTCAACAAAACATATTGGATTTTTTTATTATTAGTGTGCCTCTGTACCGATAAAAGGTTTTATTCATTTTTGTTATTGTTGATATATCGGCAAATGACGTCATGTCACTAGCTTTGTTTTAATCAATCCGCAGAAATGATGTACACAAGTTCTGTTTGAACAGATTCACTAGTCATCATTATTTCTATTGTAAGAATTGATAATGATTTATCTTAAAGTAGCATGCCTCCAATGCATATTCAATGTCACGAACATTCTAAAAAATATATTTAACAGAAAAACATTATAAAGTGACCAAAGAAAGTAATTAACCCATTTCAAAAGGCATTAGCAAAATATGCAAAATGTCTTAACTTCGTTTGTCATGCAATACAAATATGCTGATAGATACCTCAAATCAGTCATTAAACGCACATAACATGTAAATGATAACTTGAATCTTGAATCTGTTTACTTTTCTTAAATGTCCAAGTACTTTCTTTCAAATTTTATTTTCTTGAAATATATTTTGGTTCATCTGGAGGCATGAAGCTTTGAAAATGTTTATTGGTGATAAATGTGTAACTGTCAATTAAAGCCGTTACTAAAGTTGTCCCTTTTTTTTTTATTAATATACAAAATAGAATTTGAAAACGTTATTACAAGTGTAACATATGTATGAATATGTATGAACTTTTTTCGTTGCGATTTGCTTACCTGTTTGCAACAGAAACAACAATAAATAGCATGAACAAAGTTAATTACTTTGCTGTTATACGTGTAAATGACTATAGAAAAAATGAAACTTAGATATACTTGTAATTCATGCTTAATCATATGATTAAACGTATGTTTGCATCCAAACAGATAATTTGTCGATGATAAAATTACATTCTTTCATCTCACCAATTATTTATTCCATATATTGCTCGTTTATTTTATTTCTAAAAATGATCTATAAAATGATTGCATGTTAAAGAACTAAGTAAGATATTACAACAAACAAATTATGTTCATATTTACAATGTTTATTTATTGCTTCCTGTTAATGGAAAACGTTAAAGTGAATTGTTCTAAAAAGGTTTATTTTCTATGTGTATTGGTGATATAATTTTAAAAAGAAAGGAAATATATTGTTTTGCTACATATATAATGGTTCAAATAAAAAGGTCCTTGAAGAAATTAATGCCGTTAAATGTTTGTGTGATTTGGTAAGATAAAGCTTGTAAAAGGAGAGTTCTGATTGGATGAAATTGGCAGCTGATAACCAATCACTGATCTCATAACATAAAACTTGTTTTTCGGCTCTTAACCCGTAATCGAGAGACAACGGCTTTTCTAGTATACTTAGAGGCTTGGTACGTACATCACGAATACAAAAACGTAATTCACCCTGTTATATGGCAGTGTTTGTTCGCGAGACAATAACAAATGACAAATCCCTCAGTATTAACAGTACTTCTCTTCATGTTACCTTCTACAATTTCTTTATTTGAACGGAGTCACATTAATGGAAAACAATAAATAATGACTAAATTTTGAATTTCTACGACTGACATTATAACAAAAAAAAAAATAAAATAAAATAAAAAAAAAATAAATAAAAAACTGCGGAATCATGTTACTTATGTTGTTCAAATATGTTCCTTTATTTTATCATGTCATTTTGAGAAACATAATAGCCGTGTAGGTCAGACTGTATCACTCGTTGTATCATATAACATTTATTGATTCTGTAAGAAAAGGAAGCAAACTGATAAAAAAACTGACCAAAATCAGAATTATAACCAGGAGTCAAAATATCAGAAAATGTTCTTGAGGCATGCAACCATCATCTAAGCTTCATACGTTCTATTTTTGTAATTATGTAAGATGCAAAACATTACAAAATATCATTATTAGTGTTACAGACCTTTTGTGATAGATCCGGTCTCCGGTCTCTTAAAATCGCTTAATGTGAGTGATTTGTCCGTCAAGGCTGTGTGTTAAAAGGCTCACTATGCCTTAAGAATGCTTAATCTTTTATTTCTCAAAAACTATCTTTTGTGTCTTGTAACAGTTTCCAAAAAATACTCATTCGCTATACACAAGTCTTTTGCTTATTTTGCTCTGTAGTAGTGATTTATTAATTTGTATGGAAGTCAAAATAATACATTGTTTACATTTTGCTATCTTTGCATGTTCAACGCTTTCTTTTGTTATTGAATATCTAACATGCTGTTAACCCATTATTGAAACATTTTCAAAGTTAACACTTTTGACATGTCTTAAGAACTACGAAATATGGATTTGTGAAGCAAAATGTGCCTTTAATTAGGGCATGCCAACATCGACTGAAATCCTTTTTTACTAGAACAGTACTATTAATTTATTTCTTCTTCTAGTGTGACTTAAAAGTTTGACTTGTCTCCATGGAAACATTCTTTCTTGTGACATTGCTTTTTCCTATTTATTAAATACGGTATTGTACTCTTAAATGTTATTTTAATAGAATAGAAATTGCTTTTTTCAAGACAATGATTAAAACGGTGTTGCACTTTTAAAGGTTATTTTAATAGAATTGCAATTGAATGGAAAAGAAAAGAAGCCTAAAATCTTATTGCGCCAATACGATAAGAAAATGTTTTAATTCTTATTCTTGTAACTGTTAACTACTCTTACACCAGAGTAATTGTATCTACAGATAATATGTCCGGAATAATAAATTGTTGTTGTGGAATATGATGCGAGATAACACCGGGTTAAGAACAGAACAAGATAATGAGGGTTTCCTGATTCATCAAATGTTTGAATGCACAATATGAAATCAAGTAATCATTACTATATTATCTTCGAGGAATGAAATCTCTGGAACACCATAACAGTATAATGGTGTTCCAGAGATTTCATTCCTCGAAGATAATATAGTAATGATTTTATTAAATTTATGTTTTTAATTGAAAAATTATTGCTTTTACTAGTTATGCATATTGTTAGCATTTTCCGGTTCAATGATTTTTGCCAGGGTTATGACTCTTTAATAATTTTTATTTTTAAAGTTTTTAAAGATATTTTCATTCATTTATCTGACTGACACTCATTTTAATCATAGTGATTATAGATAAACTCGTAATAACTAAAAATAGGAAAACATGATAGCATCAACATTTACAACATGCACACTATAAAGAAGTCAATTTTCATCATGTATTTAACTGTAAATCACGAAAATAAATTGTTCATTGATTTTTGTCAGAGTTTTGGCTCTTTAATGATTTTAATTTCAAAATTATCCGACCTGCTTCTGCTATACCACTAATGCAATTTCAATGAAAACGTTGATTGGTAGCTCAAATAATTGTGCATATTACACATGTTTTTAGGTTGAATGTTTTTTGCCGAGTTATGGCTATCATGAGGCGACACACGTGATCACTGATCGCTCTTGTTTACATAGATGTTACATTTCAGATCCCAAAAGATAGGTCAACGCGACATAATTGTTTTCTTTGTAGTGTCTCTTGATTCTATCTGACTTTTTTTGAGTAGTTCTATAATATAGTTGTTCGTTTTTGAACCATTTTGGTTCCCCTAAGTAAATGCTGATTTTTAATTTAAAGTTGTCTTTTGACGTCTGTGATATGCAGGCTTCATAACCTCTGATTCCTTGTTAAAAAAATGTAATTTTGTTCCGCCCATTGGTTGCTCGTTTAGGGCACTTGCAGTATTATCGCTGTTCTTGGAATGATACAAAAGTACCACATTGGAGGTTCAATGATCGACGCCATATCTTGTACAAAGTGTCAGGGCACTTTTTTCTATTCATTATACACAAGGTAATTATTATAAAGTACATAATTATGTATCTAAAATGAAGACAGCTGAATCTTCTGGGAAATTACATTTATATCATAACCGAATAGTAGTACACGCATTGGACATATTGACGGATTTGTCTCATTGGATGACATTCCCAGAACAACCATGTGACAGGATAACTACCTTTTATCAACACACGCTGTAATTAAGTAAATCTACTTAATAGTATCCCGGCAAAATGATAATACGATTCGAGTTCAAATGCGCCGAAATTTTATCACAAAGGTTGATAGGGCTGAATGATGAACTTTAAACCGTACATTATACTATAAAAATGCAAGAAAATTAATTATCTATTTCTATTTTAACATGGTAAGATATCATTCAAGCAGTATTTCATAACAATATTCAAAATGATACATTTCTATTGTTTTTTATTAATGACTGAAATATCTGAAAATGGCTAGCTTGTATATGGATAGATAGCTTCCTCAAATATTAGAATTCAAAATCCTTACTGAGATTCGAAACTTTAGCGGCGAGAGACTTAAAAGTATTGTTCTAT